GCTCCTGCATAGTAAAGGTCTAGAAGCGGTACATACGAACGCCCCCAAAACAAACAATGCATTCAAGCAGATCCTTGGGGGTTCTTGGGGGATCCAGAACAGCAGATATCATTCGAAACATTCGGATACCAGCGGCGGGATAAGTTCGCGTATAGATTTACTGCGACCTTGATTCACTCCCAGCAGCCAATTGGATAGTTTATAGGTGTAGAATTTATCCGTTACACTTTTTTGAGGTAAAGTGTTAGCGTATCCTCTGTATCAATACTTCTGACTGCCTCAGACTAACCTTAGACGTTCTAGATATAGAAGACCGCCAATCTTCTGAATTATGGACTATGGACTTATCATCGGGCAAGTAATGCTCGCAATTCCGGGATATATAAAGATCTCGAAGATACTTCGATTTCTCCCAAGATATCGAAGCTTGTACCACAACCACATCTACTAACAGCCTTGGGATTATCCACAATTTTGAACTGGCTGCCAATAAGCTCAGTTGTATAGTCGATCGTGCTCCCCGATAGCACTGAGAGAGAGGCGAAATCAAGCACAACTTTCGAACTGGCTGCCAATAAGCTCAGTCATATAGTCGATCGTACTCCCCGATAGTCCTAAGAGAGAGGCGAAACTTTCGAACTGGCTGCCAATAAGCTTAGTCGTATAGTCGATCGTGCTCCCCGATAGCACTGAGAGAGAGGCGAAATTAACCACAACTTTCCGCCTGACTACCTAGTATAGTTATAGCCTGGCCTCCTAGATAGCATATTGTCATCTCATTTCCTGGCCTAGTTATATTAGTCCTTCGTTTTAGTATCTTGGGTCGTTCAGCCTATAAGCAGCCCGCTCAAAGTTTATGCTTGTCTGAACCCCGCTGAGCGTATATTAGATTTTAGTTACATCAGCCGCAAGTTTATGTCGACATGACCCTGCTGGCGCAGGGATCTATATACATAAGGAAATAAAGACTACTCATGTTTTAAGGAGGCCATATTTCCACCAGGATACTGCAAACAGATGTAATAGTCTGGAGAGTTGCGTAGAAAGCTCTCGTTCAACAGTGGCTCATCGGCTCATTTGTTCCAACATGCTGTCCACATGCTATACATAGCTGTGGCCATCGAAGAAGTAACCCTCTAGACATCTTCGAGGATGCACCTTGGAGAATCTCGGACGTTCTAGGTTGCTGCAAAGCTGACGCCCGACATAAGGGGGGAGGAGAAAACAAGTCTATTGGTAGAGTAGTATGTGTATTGACCCAAATGTCCTTTGATTATACAATTCTGTCCGAACCCTGCTGAGCCTGTGTTAGATCATTGGTATAGAGTAGAGCACACCATTAACGACCAGTATGCACTACGGTATACTTGGCTGCAACCACACGATGCAGCTATCATTTGGGCGGAGTGACTTCGGTCTATATTGCTCGAAATGTGCAGGGGGGTAGCCATTAGCAATGCTCCAGAGGTATGCCATGCTTCCTCATAACGTGCTAGCCTCGCACCCACCATTTTCGGCGAGTTGACAGCTTCCACGGGGTATAAAGAGAGGGTCGTCCGCCGGGCTAGGGAGACTATCTCCATCAACTCCAAAATCCTCAAGATCTTCATACACTCCAAAAGCCAGTCTACAACCCCAAACTCCAGAAGCCTCACCAACAACCAGGCATAAACCAACCAGCCAACATGCGGTTCATCTCCCTCATCACCTTTTCCCTCGCCGCCATTGCGAACGGCGCGGCACTCCAAGAGGATGCCACGGCGGGCGACGGCAATGGATTAGTCGCAGCACGAAACTGTAATGTTGGCTATAACTACTGTGGCTGGTATCTTGCCGACAGCTTAGGTAAATTACACCTCGAATCACGCCTAGCTACTTTTACAAATGAGCCGCTAACTCGGTGTATAGGCTGGAGGAATGTCCCCGATCGCCAGGGCCTTTACGACTGCACCGCACCAACCAGCGCCAGGCGCCTGAAACATTGCAACAGTGGTTGCAAGGGACCCACGGCCCATTGTGGATAGGGGAATCATATGTGGATGTTAGGAGACCCTATTTCTTCTTGTGATGGAGCTTGACCAGGTTGAATTTGTGATATCATGATGTCAGTAATCAATTAGTAGTTTACGGTGGTTGGTTCAACACGCATCACGTACACTCAATACAATTAATATAGGCCCTACAACTACTTCCTGACTTGTAGTAAACAGAAGCTGAGAAGATGCTGTAAAACCCGGAATACTACAGAAAAGGTCGCAAATTGGGCGTAAATAGATGAATGATGATGGTATTCAGGCTTATCGGCCATTTTGGACCTCTATATGTCTGAGATACGAGATATTTGATTGATTTGATTGGTCAGGTGGGTCTGGAGCAATCTATGAGATTTCAATCTATCAAGCACTGATCATCTAAATACACGATATTGAGCTCCTATTTATGTTCCTCATACGGCCATGTATCTTGCCATCGCGGAGATGCCAATTACAGCTGAAACAGGCGTTAAAACGCCGGGCGTAGCATTTGTTCGATGATAGAGAGCTGACACTGATATTTAATGAAACGGGCGTAGTTGATTAACGTGTTTCGTACGATTAGGCAATATTACACCGAATCTCCGTTCAACAGTAGGTCCCTCAGACTCTAGTGCACCCCCCCGCCGTATCCTCCTGGCTTTAAACTATAAATCTTACTCTGGCAAAGGAGTTGGGAATTGCGTCTAGACTAGTGTGTACAGGCCTAACACTACATATTTCAGAGAGATGGCTAGCGAGCATCTAGTGTTTACCTAGAGGGCCAGAGGGTCTCCTTTCTTTTTCCTATGCGCGGCAAGCCAGGGTCCCGCATCAGCTCTAACTACTGTTGGCTAGAAATTTATGCCTAAATTAACCCGAGCCCCAACCCCTTCTGATTATCGACCTATTCCTCGCACCTTCTAAAAAGAATCACTAGGAGGTGTTTGGCTGGGGACGTAGCGGCGTGGTCCCGACAAAGTTAAACTCGCTCTCATGGACTCGTAAAGGCGGTGGCATGTCGGCCGGATAAGCGTCCTTAACTGGATAGCTCGGGTCCGTCTCACCGTCGTATGTTGCCTGTAGGCCGTCGAGCGATCTCGATATTGACTTCGCAAGCGGGAGAATGGGCGCGTACTTCTCATCCTGGTGAACTAGAGGCTGGATGTCCGAAGCGCGTCTGTCCTGGAAGGAATTAGGCCCATTTCCATGCCTTCTCCGTCCTTTGGACCAGGTTGGGAAATCAGGATCGTTGTGGGGTCAATAGCCGCGGTAGAGCAGGAGCTGTCTTTTAACCCAGCCGGGCCCCGGCCGATACTACTGTTGGGAGGTGGGTTCGCAGACGGTTGAATCGCGTTACCATCGCCACACCCAGGCTGAGTCGCTGATATAGAGAAGAATCCACCGTTACCCAGGCCCCGGCTATTCAGGCACCGATCGCAATAGTTTCTGTGTGCGCCGATACCATGTGTCCCTGGGAATACTCTGCCACAGTCACAAACATACCCGCGATACTTAGGATCCCATGACTGGCATAAAATTTTGTGTCTCTCCAAAGATTTTTGTGAACGTAGCCTCTTGCCACAGATGGTGCAGGTGTACTTCCCACTGTGGTGGCTTTCTATATGTTTCTCAAGGGTATTGGGCGTAGATTGGGCTAAACTGAGTTCTTTTATTATATACTTATGTACATTAATCCTTTCTAGTTTATAGGAGCACATCCAAGGCTCACGATAACACGTGACTAAGCCACGAGAGAACTAATTAAACGGAGGCACTATGTCTGCAATTCACAGTTGCGTGGGTCATTCACCTGCCTCATCCATCTTACGGCCAGTTGGTTTTCATCATTCATAGACTCCTTCTCGAACGTTCATGACGCTGGCTTGGCCACGCATTTATGACTAACGGACGAAGCCCCTCGTTGGAAATTTCCAACAAGACCCCACAATAACACGTGACTGAGCCAGTAGCACAGGCTGAATGAGGCAGCTTCTTGAATGCTTCTTATTCTTCGCGGGCTCCTCTGCAGCAAAGTACTTCCTTGAATGCTCCATGACGTAGTTGGCCACGCATTTAAAGGTGGTCCTGCTTCCCCGCCGCCAAGGTGCACCAGGGATCAACCCAAAAAGGTTAGTGTGGGCCTACTCATGCCCCAGTTTTGCCATTGTAGGTGGATTTCTACAGCAGGCGGGGAGGTCAGCTAGGTTAGCCACCGTAATCCAGAGGAAACCACACACTCGCTAACACGAGCCGTATTACTAGCTAGTCCAGGAGGGCAGCTGAGTTGTCTGGCGTAGAGACGCTGGCGCACGCGATGGCACGGCCTAGTGAGTTTAATTTATAGGGGCGGACTTGCATTAGATAATCCACATATAGATCCAACGCCGGCCAGAGATCGTGCGGGTTCCTCAGCCTGCATAGGGCCTGGGCAACCAGACCGAGAGCCGCCGCTGTCTGGGGGCTAGATTGGCCGCAAGCCTGCCTTCCTCAGTCTCGCTGGGTCTGAGGAACGCAGTCCTTGGACCAGCGAGGACTATTGACAGCTGTCTCTGGCGCGCAGACCAAGGCCAGGGGTGGGCCGCAGTCACCCTTCCTTGGACGTCATTCCTATGATTGACCTAGGCTTCAGTCCCTAGCTCCATGCCCTAGGAGGTCTAAGGACCGCCGACTTATGTCTATAACGGGCAGCGGACCATTGGAGTCATAAGTCCTCATTCCCATGTCCTACATAGGCCGAAGACTTGGCAGTTGCTCGCTGTACCATAGCCGTCACTCGCGCTAGTTAGGATTTAGTGAGCGCTTAGACTTGTACACTTTTCGCATTCCTACATTTCTGCATTTCTGATTTTCCCCTCCCTCTTTTTTAACATTATCGCCAGCCTGGGTTGTTCTACTCCAAAATGTACGGTGAAACTAGCTGCCTCAACTTTTGACTCCCAGAATAAATACTGGTACACTCGTATAGAAATTTCATCTCGTGCGAATATGACGTCTAATGCTAAGAAGAGGTGTAGTACTTTCCCCAGTAGTATCGACATTGGCGACATCAGCAACTCAGGGGCCAACAGAATTCCCAACGAGCCAGCACATACTGAGAAGAGGTGTATCACCTTTCTTTCTAGCAGAGATCTCGAACATGACCGCCTTCTAGAAGGCAACAACATACCTGAGCTACAGCACAAATCCTCCTCTAGCCTCATTACCGAGCTTCCACTGGAGCCAAATGCGCATACCTGTGCTGCTGGGTCCCAGAAGCGTCCAGGATGGAAGCCTCCTCACTTACCCATCTCGGCGAAGCGCACTTCTACCGAAAGGATAGACAGTGCAAAGCGATTTGCCTCCCGCTTCCCCGAGAGCGGGTCTCCGTGGGCAAGATATAGGCAGTTTACAAAAAACCGAGAGCCGGGGAAGGTGGTTCTTGCCTACGATATCAACGCACCTAAACTAGTTGTCGCCATAAAAGAGTGTAAGCTCCCAGATACGGAACAAGCACACCTTCTCTTCAGAACGTCGCATCCAAATATCGTCAACCTCCAGGACGCGTTTCTTGCTGGGCGCGACATGTATCTGGCGTATGAGCGCATGGACCTCCCTCTGGAGCAACTACACTCTGATATCAAGTTAGAGGAGCGACACATAGCTACTATCTGCAGAGAGGTGAGATAGCAAGCGACTGAGATTTACTATTTGAAGAGCTTTCCTTAATAAATTCATACTAGGTGCTCCTCGGGCTTTCGTACATCCACCAGGAACTACAAATATGTCACCTTTCCGTGAAATGTTCCACCATCTTCCTCTCAGTCCCGCAGGGCTAGTCCACGTTGCAAACTCCAGTATTCAAGCACAACGTCGATCGAAGTCGACTATGGTTCAAATGAAGCTGCTGCTACAGCCGCTTATTGCCAGCTGTATCTTTTAGCTATGCGTGATGGGGTCACCCCTCGCAGGGGCCGGCTGGGAAAGCGGAAGCGGCATCTAGGCGCAATCAATAATCCATGGCATCGCATACTGGGTCAGGTTGCCAGTAGCCTAGGCTTCGATACTGAACAGATCGACGTTAGTGTTACTGGGTTGGCTAATGCTTCTTACTCTCTCGCAGGTACCACCTGTTAGGTCTATAGTATCGACGGAGCCGTTATTTACAACAGGCTGTTGTGGGTTAACGGAGAGACAGTTGCGGAATCCCTGACATCAAGTCTTATGAGTCCGTCCGACCTCATCTCTTCCTCGATATTACCCGCAGGAACAGCGACACGCGACAGCCTTCGCCATCCAACAAGATATCTTCATGTCTTTCTTTGGTGACATTAGATCCTTCTAATGTGTCCAGGCTTGTCCGTATATACAAAAGGCAGGGTTCTCAAAGACTATGTCCAGAGAATTATATTCGAGTACTCGTATTCCAGGAGTCCCTAGATACCGCCTTTCAACGGTCAAACTTTGATCGACAACACTTGGTTAAATTATCACATCAGCCAACAATACCACCTTCTCTGGAGATATCGGCAGATGTAAAGCTTCAAGTTTTGAGGGGACATCATCGACTGTTGGCGGCCGATGAGTTTCATCTAGATAAGCGGTGGATCGTTGAGTTGTACGACGATAGTGGGTATTCAGTCCGAGAATATAGTTGCACCAGCTAACATAATCAAGAACTCGCGCATGCGGCTCTCCTAGCCCTCTGCGAGGATAATCCAAACGCGAAAAGCTTTAGTAACGGCGAAAAGTTTCGAAATCTCCGTCTTAATGAGAAGCTCGGCAACCAGGAAGCGGCGAACGCATGGCGCTCACGGCTAACCGCGAACGAGCAGCAGACTTTCAATAGAATCTTTGTCAAACTGAAGCCCCATGGAGATGCGATGGATGAGCTTCTCCCTGTGGTTGGACTTTGGCCTAATCTACCGGTTGGCTCACTCCACTAGCTGATATATTTTAGTATCATGCATATCACTGCTACAGAAAGATGTCATCCTAGCTTGAACTCCATATATGAACTGAGAGAAAAATGAGACCTTCTAAATGCTATTCACTATGTTATGAATGTCGGTAAACGGGCTTTTGATTGGAAGCCTCCCACCAATACGTGGCCATCTTCTAGGAAACAGAAGCCATTGTCGGCGATGGTGCCCGCCCGCGCTGTTTCTTATTTTTGAGCATCCTATAAGAGAAATACACCCCAGCAAGTGTTGCAATAAATCCTAATATACCGACAACTATACCAGCAATCTCCGCGCCACGTAGTTTGTCACCATCATCGGAAGGTTCACCATTATTGTTCGGCGAACTAGACTGTGTTGTTGGCTCAACAGGAGGTGTGGTTGGGTAGTAAGTATTGGAAAAAGTTGATGTTCCCCGCGGCGAGGAAGAGCGAACTGGTGGCGTGGTCCGGGTAGGTGTACGGTTAGCTAAGAGTATACAAGATTAACCGTTGTTTTCATTCCCTCCATTAAACAAACAAAATCATGAATATTAAAGGAGGGGGAAATATGGCGACCACGCTGATTCTAAGAAATAGTCGCCTCACCAGTTGTGCTATGTGTTGAAGTTTCACTGGAACTCGTATATCCTGCACTGGTGCAGTAATCCGTATAGATACCAACCGCCTGTGTGATATCGACTTCATTGCGTGAACATTGATTATTCACACAGGATGAAACGTAGGATGTAGCTGTAGGCTGTAGGTCCGTTCGACAAAAGCAGTTATTCATAGCAGGATATGTAGGACAATCCAGTTCGATCGCAATTCCGTACCCAGGGTCGTTGAAACCGCGTCTGATACAGGAAAGAGCACAATCGCGCAGTCTGTCATATTCACTTGCTTGGTTAATCGACACTGGGTCGTCGGCAAGGACTGATGTCGAATAGGCCAATACTATGAAGAGGTGGGATATAACCGGGGCGCGCATCTTGAGCAGGAGAAGGCTGTGTGAAAATTCAGTGTGCATACCGAGGACTCGTTACCTGCGGATAGTGTTATATAGCAAAGCAACAAGCTAGGTAGGCCTAACCGGCAAAGGTACTTAAAACAGCCCACTACTCCGGATGTGTTCTCGTATAAGTCCTGATGAGCCTTGTCAGGCGTGCTGCCATCTGACCGGCCCTGCGAAGGGTTGATTACGCATACGGTGACGGGGATGTAGCCCTTGCATGGTCAATATCTCCTGGCTTTGAAGCTCAGCCAGGGGATAAGGGCCAAAGGGGGAGAGCCTTTGGCGCCTTGCCTAAGTATCAAAACATAACCGGGCCCAAGTTATTGCCATGCAAGCCAGCTATCAACACCCATGCGCGTCCTGGGGTTTCAGGACAAGGATGGCTGGATCCGCCTTGGTATCCCCTGGTGGCGTCGTGGGATCAACATCAGTACGAACCTCGTTTCCGCGGAGCTGAATCATGTAACCTTCCATTTCACTTTAGAGCCCATGTCGTCCTTTGTTTGCCGTTCTTCACTGACCATTCAACTAAACGGCACAAAGTAATACCTAGTATACCTCTTCACCTAGGGGTAATAAACTGTAATCAGAGCGAAAATATTAAACCGAGCAGAGTCTCGTCGAAGCTGGAAGTATTCGGGCGTGTATCGTGGGTTTCTGTACATACCCAATGTTGTCGATATTTGGCCAAAACGCGCATTAAAGTGAAAAGGCCGGCCTTTTGTTTCTCCGCCGCCGTTTTCATGTGAGCCCAAAACGGCAACCAAAAGTCGCAAAAGAAAGATGATTAAAACGGTCAATATCAAAATTATCCTGGTGGACTTCCGAGAGAACCCTTGCAAGCCCACCAAAAATCGATTCACGTCCTGATGTTGAGGTTAGTTTTCGACATACTGGGTGAGTCTGAAGCGATAAAATCAGGTCAAGAAGCTGATCCTTTATGTCGGCAGTATCCCTTCCGGCCGGCGAAGTGAAAATGTCGTGTAAACCATTGAATGCGACTAGCCGGTTCCCAATCGGGTTCCTGCTTATTATCTCAGATCGAGTGAGTGACATGGTCGGAGAGCTGCATGATGGAAAGGGAAGCGCGAAGTTCAGCAGAACGACACGAAATCCCCATAATTTATTCTCTGGATAATTGTTAATCCGATAAAACAGTGTAATCACGTGTTAGAAGTTCTAGTTTTAGCCAAACCACTCTCTGCTTTACGCGTTGAAATCCCAGTAGTTAATCCCACTTCGCTATTATTTCACCTGTACACAGGCTACTTCTTATCTTGGGTCTGTCGCCTGTCTACGCAGTCTCGACATCTGGGGCTCTCCTCTTGTTTTCGAGAGCCCGGCCGACGATACCTGCATCATCTTATACAAGTACACCATTTTAGGTTGATCCCGACAGACCCCATCGCGAGCACGCGGTTACCCTTGGATTTGGTGGCTAGCCTGGCGGAATCTCCCGCCTGTGGTTGGATCCAACTCACTTTGCAAAACTGGGGCATAAGGCGGCCCACACTAACCATTTTAGGTTGGTACCTGAAGATGGTTTGCTCCTTAAGCCCATGTTGATACACCATGCCCACTGCCCTATCTATCCTTTCCATAGACCGACACACGCATACGTCCTCTGCACGCCACTACAGGTGTCCTCTCAGGTGGCCTCATCTTTTTCAGTCAAGTCATCGAGATAACCTTCTTTACTCAGAATCTGGTTCCTCTTGACGGTTTGAAGCCACCTGCCGGATGGTTTTCATACCCGTTTGGTTGGCAGTCCTGTGTTGTGTGGAAGCGTTCGAGTCACCGACTTCATCAGCGAGGCCATACAACCACACCTCCAACCGTGAGAATCATTTAGCAAGAGGATCTCTATCGTAAGAGATCTCCCCAGTACCCAGGCTGCACCACGGGGAGGCGATTCTCTTTTGCAGCCCTGAGCCAGATGTTACCCTACCCTCGTTGGAAAATTCCAAGGAGACCACACGTGATTATCCCATTTCCTTTTGATGTTTCCGAAGAACTTGCTCGTTACAAACCAACAGAAATTCCATCTGGTGCCAACATGACGTCTACTGTACATGTAGCATTGCTTCGCAATCACCGTCGCTGCAGCCATGTATGTATCCCATATTTTGAACCCCCCTCTCAGTTAATCAAAACATTATGCGCAATGTATATGACGCTATTGTCTCCATTCTCTACTATCGCCGCCCTCTCTCCAACCCCACAAACAAGCCGTTAAACACACCATCTGTCCTTTTGCGGTACAGTTCCCCATCATCACCAAGCAAGACTGACTCATCAAGCTGGTACAGTCGCTCGAACCTCAAGCCGTTGTTTACTGGCCGGACGCGTCTTGAATCCCGGAGGGGCGATAGATCGCTCAGCAGGGGGAAGTCGCGCATCACCGCAAGGAAGAGCTGCCGGTAACCGAGACGGATGCTGGTTTCCCTTGTCCCTGGATGGCTGCGAAACTCGGATTCACCGACCTGTATCCAACAACTCCCATGTATCTGGTTGATCCCGGTGTAGCTATGGGAGAACATCTCACGCACCGTCCCCTGGAGCGGAGTGGGTAAGAGCCCGCGCAGGACGAGAGAGCAAGCTTCGAAGTACAGGAAGTCTTGGAAGAAAGTATGGAACGACAAGATCCGGCCACGCACGCTAAGAATTCGATCCAGAATCCGGTCTCGGTGGTCCTGCGACCAGACGGTAGGGAAGATCTGTCTTTGACTCATCATCCGACGGGCTTGCGCAGCGTTATGAGATAAAAATTTTGGAGTCAAAGTCTCGAGCTTTAAGACTGTCTTCGGATCAAGAAGGCTAGGCTAATACCCCCCGAGGATATGAGTGTATATCCAGTGGATGCGATCGAGATAATGGACCAGCTCCTATAAACGTCAGTAATGGAACAAGCTATGGAATTACAGATGGCTGGCTACCTCAGAGCTCCTCAGCCTAAGGAGGCGACCCAGATACCCCAACTTAAGGGCAGACCACAGCCCCGTAAAGGGAAGGAGCCGGTCTAACGCCCTTCTTAACCGCCTCGCCTTCGAGTCCATCCGGTCTATATCGTCCCGTTTCCCTGGCGATAGCCTCGCCCGCCACTTTTCCTCTTCATTCTCGTTTTCGTGACTCTGATGATATCTCAGATTTCGATAGATGTCTCCATCGCAGAATTGGTGAGCGTTAGAATGCTCTTCACGCATCACGGTCTCCACCCATGGCGGTAGATCTGTCGCCAGTTAGATACCAGGTGCAGCTCACAGGCACTCTCACGACGTACTGTCAACGTAAAGGTCGGCAACCCACCATTTGTCCCACAGGAAACACTCGGCTGCCAGCAACCGGTGCCGGCCGTGCAAGACCTCTACGAAAGCGTCCACCGGAAGCTCCAGGTCTCGGGGTTCGGCGTCCCCCAACAGATCCTGGCGCTCCAGTCGTTGGGTTGCCAATACATGCTGCAGAACATCACTGCTGATAAGAGCTTGTACGTAGTTGTCCGGTTTCAGTCGATAGCAACCATAGTGCCAAAACCCGTTGACCAAATTCTCTACTTGCTTATCGCTAATAGTCCGAACTTCAGACAGGTTTCTTTTAAAACAAAAGTGTCGCAAGTCAATCTTCGCTCTTCCTACATAGTGGCTTGCCTTCTCCAAAAAGAGCCTTTGGTCCGACATCAGTCTTCGGTGATATTAGAAGCTGCGTAATAACAAGTGCAGTTAATGTAGATTAGTGCTAATATTACTATGGGCCTAACATAGGAGCGGAAGAACATCGAAAAGCTGATTTATTTTATTGAAAATCGCGTAAAATTTGACAATCTTTACAGTCTACCTGCATCCTCGTAGGCAATTGCCGCATTTGACGCGTGAAAACGCGTCGAATCTGTGGTTATGGCGCCGAAGTGGCCGCAGGTAAACAATGGCCCGGAACACATCAACGAACACGCAGCATATCTCCGCGAAGCATGCCATCAATTACAGGCCCTAGGACAGGACCAAGTACCATGGAATATAGTGCAGAAATACATCACATCCACTATTGCGCTCGTTGGAAAAGTGCTCCAGCAACCTGCAATTAGCGACATCCTCCACCACATCCAGGATACAACTAGATGCACACAGAACATTCAGAGAGATGTTTCGATCATCAAAAACTCTGTGGGCCTGAACACTGCTCCGCCGAGTGCGACCAATCTCACCGGAGGCAGAGCCGCAACCGCGACCTGGGCGCAAGTGGCAGCACAAGCCAGAGGCCCTCCGGTTTCACAAGGCACATGTGCTACTAAGTCTCAACCCGCTGTCACAGCATACAAAGATCGAGCAGTAACAGTCAGACTCAAGGACCACGGAATCACCCAACGATTCCGGACGCTTTCTACTACCAAAATAAAACAACAAGTAGATACCTCCATCCAGAATCATGCGAATTCCAGGTCGGTCACGGTGGTGGCAGCCCATCAACTCAAGAGCGGGGATATCCAAATCTTCACCTCATCTAGAGCAGAAGCCGCGAGGCTCAGGGAGAGCAGGGGATGGGTAAGTGGCCTTGGAGAACACGCCGAACTTATAGTGCCAACCCATGGAGTCATCGTCCACGGCATCTCCACGAACTCCATCAACATCAAAGATCAGGAAGTAACCATCCAACAGATACTCGCAGACAACCATACAGTTATACCCAAAGCAGAGATCTCATCTGTAGGATGGCTGACTCGGGAGTCTGCCCTCAAACACGCATCCTCCATAGTGGTGGAGTTCACAGACCCTGAAATGGCCAACGCCATCATCTATGCGGGGATGGCGTGGGCCGGACAGATACACATGTGTCAACTCTACGACCGCGCATGTAGAGTAAAGCAATGCTTCCGCTGCTACAATTACGGCCACATCGGCACACAATGCAACGCAGCCCAAGCATGCGGCTATTGCGCTGAGTTACATGAGACCAGGAACTGCAAACAGAAGGGAGCAGAAAACTTCACTCCCAGATGTACAGTATGCAAAGGTGTCCATAAAGCATGGAGCAACGCCTGCCCGGCGAGGAAGAAAGAGCTGGAGAGAGTCGAACAGGCTAAGCAGGTACGGAACACCTACTGGCACGTGGTGTCGACAGACGAACCCCCCAAGGTCGACAGCTCGAGAGCAAAACAACGCCGTACACGCAATCTCACCCCTAGCCGAAATGTCACTATACCAGACACCCCGAACGTAGAGCCATCGGACCAACGAGACTCCACCGCAGAGCCCTCGCCTGCACAGGCAAGGAATCCCCTCCCAGAACTGCGACCCCTGGAGCCCGCAGTAACGCAAACACACGCGGATATGCCAGCTGCAGAAGAATGGGCGAGACCAGTATCACAGCAAGAACCTACGTTGCAACAGCTCATTATCGATCCACAGATATTGGCAACAGAGCAACCCCGGAGGGCCAATCCAGCAGAAGTCGATACCCCAGACGCGGGCACCACGGAGGCAATATCGACGGGTGTGACACCAATCCATCAACCCTTATGTCCCCCTGACGCCACACTAGGAGATTGTGATATGGATAACGCGGAGGAATGGCTGGCCAATTTGGAGAACACCTTCGCAGAGAACAGGCAAGGCTCCGAAGGAGCCAGTTCCATACCGACTTCGGTGGCAACAAATACCCGTACGGCTCGAGGACTATACAAGGGGTGCAACTGCCCAGAACACCAGGAACTATATGACAGCTGGCCAACACGCAACGCTGAGATGACGATTGCCCGCTGCATGAAGATATGCGTGTATTGTGGCAAAGACTTCATACAGACATCGGCACTGCGCAACCACATGAGAACCAAAATGGAATATATCCGAAGAAACCTGAAGGTGCGAATCGAAACACGGGGAAGATGGAGTAACCCCAGCCCTGGATGGACGCTTCGAGAACCTAGGACCCGATCAACCCGGAGCCAGTCCCCACCATTTCATCGACTGAGGACTCGCGTATTCAGAAGCCGATCCCCCATAGATAGCCCAGACACAGCCTTACTCCCATGCTAGGACACCAGGAACTACGCATCTTACAGTACAATGTCCAAAAGTCAAGAGATGTCGTCCTCGCCAGTCTCTTTTGAGATCCCCAGATCCTCGAATACGACATCCTGGCGATACAGGAACCCTGGCGAAACCTATTCATTTTTACATCATATTACCCCCTAAAATCACATTTTTAACTAACCTATCTCAATAACGCCCTCACAAGGGTATACTTCTATATCAATAAATAGATTAATCTAGGCACGTGGAGCGTATCATACCTATCCAAAGACATTATCTCTCTAGCGATCCACAACCCCTCCTCTAACAGAAGTATCCATATATTTAATGTCTATAATAAGGTAGGAACTAACACTCTCTCCACACTAGCCAGCGCCATTAACAGGCTGGAATCCTACAGGAAAGTTATAATACTAGGAGACTTTAACTTACATTACCTGCTATGGTCGGCGGCACGACCGCGGGCCACTTATAGATCAAGTGCTTGAGATCTCCTTATAATTGTTGAAGATTTCTAGCTCTAGCTCCTCACTATGCCTAGAACCGCGACTCATCACTGGTCAGGTGGGGAGACAATAATTAACCTTACCTTCGCGTCTAAGGACCTAGCACCCTACGTAACCCACTACAAAGTAGACAGAAGACTGGACTATGACTCTAACCACCTCCCTATCACTGTGGCCATTGACTGGAGCTAGCAACCAGCAACTATAACTAGAAAACGTATATGGGCCAAGACAAATGTAGAGTTACTCTAAAAAACCGTCGAGAAACACCTCCCCTTACCCTATAATACCTCAAAACTTGATGATAAGGACAGTATCGACAAACTCATCTTATCCATCGTCAGCGCGCTAGATGCGGGTGTCGCCGCATCAACCCCTTGGTCGAGCCCTTCCCCCCGATCAATCGCAGGATTTGATCAGGGTTGCAAAGACATATGCAAAGAAGTCCAGCAGCTCCGCCGGAGATGGCAACGATCACAACAAGAAGACGACTACGAGGCCTACCGACAGGCACGCAATAAAAAAGGTCGCCACATTCAAAAGGCCCTCCGGAACACCCATCGGCAGAGAGTCGAAGAGGCTTCCGCAACGCCATCAGGCCTCTGGAACTTAGTCAAATGGGCTAAAAACAGGCACGACGTACCTCCAGCATGCACACCAGCACTAGCAAGAGCAGACGGAGAACTCGTCCACCAGCCGGAAGAAAAGGCAGAAGTGCTCCGCCAGACTTTCTTCCCGCCGCCACACCAAGCCGACCTCTCAGACCTCGAGGGATACGAATACCCTCCACCCATAGAATGCCCGGACATCACCTCGGCAGAGATCGAAAGAGCAGTGCGCAGAGCGTCTCCGAACAAGTCCCCAGGCGCCGACGGTATCACAAATGGCATCCTGCACCGGACACTTGACATTCTCCTTCCACATCTCTGCAAGCTCTTCAACGCATGCCTCGAGCAGGGATACTGTCCTAAGCACTTCAAAAACAGCATCACGGTAGTCCTTCGAAAACCGGGCAAAGACGACTACACACAGCCCAAGTCGTACCGGCCAATTGCCCTCCTCAACACGTTGGGCAAGGCCTTGGAGGCCATCATCGCAAACCGACTGGCCTACATCGCCGATGTCCACCAACTTCTTCCCAGTAGACACACCGGGGGCCGGAAACTGGCATCGACGGAGCATGCCATGCACTTCCTCCTCCAGAGAATACACCAAGCATGGTCCGAGGGCAAGGTGGCCTCGCTCCTACTGCTCGACGTATCAGGAGCATACGACAACGTATCTCAAGAACGACTTTTGCACAACCTCCGGAAACGTCGGGTCAGCCAGAAAATCGGAGGTTGGGTAGCATCCTTCCTCAGTGACCGATCCACGACTCTTAAGTTGCAGGAGTTCAACGCACCCTCGACGCCTATCCAAACGGGAATCCCACAGGGATCGCCTGTCTCGCCAATCCTGTACCTGTTCTACAACGCTGACCTTGTCGAGGCGTGCAAGTCCGAAGACACAGAAGCGGTGGGATATATTGACGACGTATCAATTCTAGCAGTGGGCCCGACGGCACAGCGCAATTGCAAAACGCTTAAAATTATCCACCAAAAGGCGGAACAGTGGGCAAAAAAGCATGGGTCCCAGTTCGCGCCAGCAAAGTACGAACTCGTCCACTTCACACGGGACCCGAAGGCAAAGAGCACACACGCCCTCCGCCTACCGCATACCACGGTCGAGGCGTCCCCGTCGTGCCGCTATCTCGGCATCCAGATGGATACCAAGCTCCGATGGGAGTTCCACTGCGACAAGATAGAGGCGAGAGCCACGAAACGACTCTCAGCGCTCGCGGCTCTAGCATCGTCAACTTGGGGAACAGGGACGATCGATCTCCGGCAGGTATATAGAACGATGATCGTGCCCCAGATGCTATACAGCTGTTCAGCCTGGTACATTCCCGGTAAAGGCCACGGAGGCCGAGGCAGCCCTATGATAAACGCCATCAAGAGGATCCAGAGACGTGCAGCCCAAATCATCAGTGGCGCATTCCGGACAACCGCCGGAGCGGCAGTGGACCTAGAAGCACACCTCCTCCCGGTACAACAACAACTCGAACAAACAGCGCTGGAAACCGCCCTGCGCATACGAACTTCCCCGCTGTACGACGACATGGCCGCAACGGACGGTAACGGCAGGAGACGCGACGCACAGAGTCCCCTTGGCCGCTTATCGGGCATCCTGAAACACAAGTACAAGGTACAGCTCAACCGACTTGAGAAACGCCAACCACACGTCGTGCCACCCTGGTGGACTCCCCCATTCATCCGCATCGCCGAGTCTGCGGAGGATGCAATTAGGGAACACGACGTTGCGGAGCCAACAACCCTATGCATCTACACGGACGGGAGTGGCATCAACGGTCACGTTGGAGCAGCCGCGGTAGCGCCTTCACTCCAGATAGACGACGTCTGCACAAAACGAACCCACTACATGGGGGTATCCAGCACGTCAACAGTGTACGCGGCAGAGCTCAAGGGTCTAGTGCTAGCACTGCAAATAATACTCGACATTCACGCAGCCGGAGCAGCCCCCGGCAAATACGCCATTTTCACCGACAACCAGTCCGCCCTCCAGGCAATAAGGAATCCTAAATACTCCTCGGCCCAGTATATCCTTATCGAGGCGATACGGGAGCTCGATAGGCTGCGAGATCTCGGGTGGGAAGCGCAGTTCCGGTGGATCCCAGCACATGTCGGGGTGCCGGGCAATGAAGAAGCGGATCGACTGGCAAAGGAGGCTGCGAGTGTTGCTCTAAACCTTGGAATAGACACCGGGCAGCCTCCAGAGTCGGACCATGTGCGGATCTTGATAGCAACCACGAAATCCACCATCCGCCAAACAATGAAACGAGAGTGGGAGACATCCTGGGAGACGACCAAGCAAGGCAGGGACCTCTTCAAACTTGGGGTCAGGCCAGGAAAAGCGACACTGGACATCCACAGAGGAACACACAGGGCAATCAGCTCAGCAATCACACAGATGCGGACAGGCAAGATTGGCCTGCGCGCATACCTACACGCCATCAACAAAGCCGACACCGACAAATGCGAATGCGGCTACGGGCCGCAGACCGTGCGGCACGTCCTCCTGGAATGCCGAAACTGGGCGGACGAAAGACATCGGATGTGGGCAGGCAAGCTCCCATGCGTGGATATCAAGCGCATTCTCTGCAGCCCATCTATGGCAGTGCAAAGCAGCCAAGATGATCTTGAGGACCGGGCTCCTGGGTCAATTCCAGGCTGTCCCGTCCACATTACTCCAGTATAGTTAGCGTTAACGAGTAAATTTTGGTAATAACAGAAGTAGAGGAGGGCCAGGAGAGGCCTGATAGATACAGAGAAACAGAACAGACAGGGGGACTACGGTAGACAGAAGCAGAGGAAGGCCAAGAGAGGCCTAACAAGAGCACAGACACGGAACAGGTAAGAAGACTATTTATGTAGGGATATCTAAGCTCGAGTGGAAAAGAAAGCAATTCAGGACGCGAATAGCTTGATCTTGGAAGCAAAGGGCGGGAACACCTGTATTTATAGATGCACGCTGCATAGCTGCCACAAGGGCGGCTGGGACAGTCTATGAATCAATCAATCAATCAATCAATCAATCTAATAGATAACAGCAGACTGGTATAATGTCAGGAAATTGCGGCGTCAGGCAGGCCAGAGATGCAGAAATCCAGAAATCCAGAAAGGTGGAAATGCTAAAATTAGAAGTATAGGGCGATGCAGGAAGCGCAGAACCTAAAAGTGTTTGAGCGCTTAACCTCCTCATTTTATCCAACCACCCACGTTAGGCAAATGGGAGACAGGAACGCGTAAAGTGTACATGTCTAAGTTATGTAACAACAATAAACGGGTGCAGTTTGTTGGCAGTAGAAACGTTAGTAGAGCAACGCGCGATTTACAAGAGGCGACGAAAAGACCTGGAGCCTCTTTCCCATCTTTCTCTGCCCCTCGTCCTCCAGTCCACTGGCGGTAGCCGAACGCTTCACAGATTTCCTAGTGCTTACAGGGGCGACCAGCCTGGAGCGGTGGAAGTCAATTATCAAGGCTCGTTGTAGCTCCGAATTCCATAATATATTATCGGGCTTCAAATCCTCGTGGACCACACCTAGGTCGAGGATCTGCCTCTTGGACCGCTCGATGTGCTCGGTCAACTCTGGCAAACTCTGAAGACTGCTCACTTTCTGGCCTCCCCAGCCCATGAGCAGCATATGCTCGATTGACCCCGCGCCGTGCACATGGTACACCATTCTTAGGTTAATGGGCCCAAGGAAAACCGGGACTGCAGAACCTTGAACTTTCTGGAGGACACGATAAACGTCTGCTTCGCGTCGCACTTCGTCCCAGCGGCGGGCCGTCGTACCCTTCCCGACTACCGTGTAGCCATACTGGCGACAGGTGATCTTAAACGGTTGCCCGTACGAGCCACAGGTGCCAAACGGGGTGCAGTCCCGGTCCAGGTCCTCATCCAGCTGTTGCTTGATCAGGCCCACCAGTCCGCCCGCATCGATAGGGTGCTTGTCGCCGCCATTTATCGATCTATGTCTCTCTGCATTCGGGCACCTTGTATCTAGTTGACCTCCCCGCTGAAGGCCGAGTAAGCATGTCTGCGTGCAGAATTCCGCGGTGTGCTGCCTGGAGCCTCCCCGACCCTCCCTACCTTCCCTCTGGCGCCACAGTCGTTGGCCGGGTGGCGATGCCGTGAGCTCGCTCAGGTTTCGCTTCCGTCCGGGAGCCGCCTGCTGGGAGTCGGAGTCGGAGTCCGCGGGTTCTGAATGGCGTGCGGCTGTGCTTCGAGGCGCACAGCCAGCCTGGGATCGAGTGACGGGCCGGTGGTCGTCCGCGGTTGGAGAGCTCAGAGGAGGAGAGGATGGCACATGCTCCGAGCAGGGAGGGGTTTTTTCGAGCTCCTCTTCTGGTATGCGCGCCCTCTCGTAGTCAAGGCTTGTTTCCCATACGTTTAACCGTTGCCTTGCATCGTTTCTCCAGTATTGATCCCGAGGCTGCGAGCAGCAGCTCATCAGGCAGAGACAGAGTACCCGAGCAACAGCGGTCTTCGGTTGCAAGATCCGTACGTCCCCGAGATCAACCTTGTTGGGTTCGCAGAGATAGTAGTAAAGCGTGCTTGGATCATCGCGCTGCACGCAGAGCAGAACATAGGCCAATCCGTTTGTAACGTATGAAAATTCAAGTCCTTCATTGATCATCACATGGTATTCCTGAACCAGAGTGGATGCTGTTATCTGTTCCGCGTTATATATTAACTTTGCATTTTCCTCCGTTGGGATCGTGTCCCGCTGGACTACATCCTCCCAGAGGTTCATCTCCCGGAGGCCGACACGGAGATGCTCTACTGCTAGCTTGTGAGGTGGTTTGTACTCAACGGTGGTGAGTAGTGTATTCACGCCATCGTCTACACGATGGACACAGAACTGATCTGGTATCGAGCGTCGCGTGTTATGTCGGTTTGGCGCGCTTGTATCATCATCCTCGTCAATAGTATTCGCGTGATTCTCAAACATGACTCCCTCTCCAAGAGAAAAGTCATTTCGAGCATCTGGGCGCTTGCACAGCTCTGCGATCACGTCCTGGACGTGTTGTTCCACCGTGAGCCGCTCATGAAACTCCACATCTTTCTCACTACTTAACGGCCGACACCTCCGTGCAATATCTTCGAGTGCAATGATGGGAGGAAACAGCTTATCGGTTGGCTCGAAATAGTCGTGGACACGGCGGTAGAATTCATCCTGAATCCCCGAACAGGCAAGCCAGGGGCGAAGGTAGGTCGGGCACAGCTTGCCAGTTGGCTTTCCGATCGACCCTTTGGTGGAGAGGGCGCTCTCTTGGACCTTTGTGGGCAGAGAGAGCAGGTTATGGCAGGCTCGGATGAACTCCTCGAACGATGTACGCTGGTTGCGCTCTTCCGCCCTTGTTGCTCTCTCATCCGCCTGTCGCTGCTGTTCTTCTGCCTGCAGCCGCTGCTCTTTTTCCTGTATTGCTCGCTCCTCGGCCTGTCGTCGTTGCTCCTCGGCCTGTCGTCGTTGCTCCTCGGCCTGTAGAAAGAGAGCCTTGTAATCTAGCGCATTATCGGAAGCCATGGATCTCGCACTCTCTGACGCTGGAGCAATATGGTTATAAGTTCCTGAATATCCATATCCCAAACTTATTCCGCCACCAACAGCATGGTTACCTCACGTGATGTTTAGAATCACGTGGGACCTCAGCTAGATGGACGATTTACCTTATCCAACCACCTACTGAACCACTCACCTTATTGAGCCACTCACCTTATTAAATTACCCATCTTATTAAACCACCCATCTTAATGCATTTAGTGGATGGATCCTCAGAGCGGCTCCTGTTCTGTGATACAACATACCCTACCCTGAAGCGCGTTGCTAGCCGACACTCGGCCTAGAATTTACTCGCTCTAGCAGACACTCGCTCTAGCAGACACGAGTAAATTCTAGGCCGAGTGACTGCTAGAACAAGTGTCTGCTAGAACGAGTAAATTCTAGTCCGAGTGTCTGCTAGAGCGAGTGTCTGCTAGAACGAGTAAATTCTAGTCCGAGTGTCTGCTAGAGCGAGTGTCTGCTAGAGCGAGTGTTTGCTAGAACCGTACTTATTCACCCTAAGATAGGTGAACCCGTTTGCTAACAATCACCCTTTAAAGCGGATCCGGCGATATGGATTTTGGCAGTCCTGGTTGTTATCGCGCATCCGCCAACGGTTAAGGAATCCGACGTAGAAAGACCGCGCGTCGTGGGTAGAAAAGAGGGGAAAACCCCAGTATGATGCATATATAGGGCATCGGAATGGGGGCTTTTGACTCCAACGAACCGCTACCCGTCATAGACATAAGTCGACGGTCCTCGAGCCTCCCAGGGCATAGAGCGAGTGACTAATGTCCAGGTCGGTCAAAGGCATTGCGGCCGAGGCAGGGTGACTGCAGCCCACCCCTGGCCTTGGCCTGCGTACTAGAGACAGCTGTCAATAGTCCTCACTGGTCCATGGACCGCGGTCCTCGGACCCAGCAGGCCCAAGGGAGGCAGACTTGCGGCCAATCTAGTCTTCGGACAATGCTAGTCATCAGTCAGGTTGCCACGGCCCTATATGTGCCGGGGACCAAAGAGTGTATAATATCCCGCAATTTCAGCCACCTCAATACGCGAGTGTGCGCTGGCATATACTCGTTTTAATGTAGTTCTAGTTGCTCTAGCATAAACTCGCTATAGAATGCACCATTAGGAGACCTAGGGCCGGGCTGTCCTCACAGAGCCCGGCCGACGTTAATGATTGATTGATTGATTGATTCATTTACGCCGTCCCAGCCGCTTTGTCAGCAGCTATGCAGCCTGTGTCCTACCACGTGGCCCCAGCTTTAACCACTTGCACTAAGATACATGAAGAAAAATTAAATAAACAGTAAAGGAACGTGCAGTTTGAACAAATGAAATTCAGAGAAAAGAATGTGCATAAAGAAAACATAGCTTTCCTATAGTATGTTTTGCTGGTACGGTCCTGGATGCTACGCATTTCTGCTGCAGCTTCTGGTGGTGCCCTGATACGCTTATGGGTCTCATTGCCCCGCTAAGCCTCCGTTTCTACGCTTCGAAATTGTCCAAGAAGCTTTGTATGCAGCATGAATCTTGCAGCCTTTGGCGCATAATTCTTATGTGAGAGCATTTTCTTCAGGTCGGTCGTCCACTCGCCTTGCCACAATATGTCCCTCCTCAGGTCCTTGAAAATTGGGCATGCTCTTAGGAGATGTGATGTCGACTCCCTCCCTTTCAGGCACTGGCAGACGTCGTCTTCCACTTGGGGCACTCTGATATTGAGTAGGTAGTCTCGCAGCCCTATCTTTCCCGTCCGCATCTGGGTTAAGATGGAGGATAGAGGCCGGGAGAGTTTCGCGTGCAGGCTTACGATCCCTCTGAACGGTGTTTCCGCCAGCTTGTAGAGATCGCGTCCTCTGGACTCCTCTCGCCACTCCTTCTCCCACCTCGCGTACACATGGGAGCTGATTATTCTTAATAGGCATGTCAGCGGTACCTTGAGGTCCGTCAATCTCCTGGCTGTGTTGTCGGTATCAGCCTGGGTTGTCCTGCCGCGTCTGTTCCGCACTATCCTCCAGCCTGTGGCCTCCTTGGCTTTTTGGTCCGCGAGCTCGTTCCCTTCGACTCCCTCGTGCGAGGGTATCCAGGCAATTTCGACATCCTGACCATTATTCTTGATTTGTTCCCACGTCCGGAGGATCTCTGTGAG